TCAGTTCCTCATACTGCCTGCCTGGAACATCACCTTCAAAACCCACTCTCTCCTCCCTCTGCCTGGCTGACTCCTTTGTGGTGCTCAGCCTCAGTTTTATCCTTGTTTCTGCCTTTGCCTGTTTCCATCATTTTATACAACTCTGTTTCCAACTGTTTCTTTTATTTTTTGGATTCCTTGTTTTCTGATTGCTTACTAGAGATGCAGTCTCCAAGACGGAAGGCAGTGTATCTAGCTCCTCACTTTTGCCTCCAGTCCCTTGAACAGTGTTTGACACATGGTAGTTATACCTGAAGTGTTTGTTGAATCAATGAATGAATAGAAGAGATAAGCTATGGCCCTGAGTGGGAGAGAGCTTGACACGTTTGAGGAAAGAAAACCATATGGCTTTAGCATAGAAAGCAAAAGGGAGAGTAGTGATATTGAGCTGAGGAAGTAGATGGACATTGAATTTTGCAGTCTTTTGTGCTAGTATTCTTCAAATTGCTCTTAGAGAGTCATGAAATCAATTCAGTGGGCTGTTACCAGCATTTAAACAAAAGTAATAGAGTAAAATCAGGGTACATTGTACTTAGTAAAAGTATCACATCAAACTTACTTCTGTATTTTTAATATATGTCTGTGTATATGTTTCTGTATCATATTGAGATATGCAAAGATTTCCCCACTTTGGTTTGCAGTAAACAGGTATAAAAGCCACCATGATAGACCACGTTAAGGAGTTCTGATTTTCTACTAAGGGAACGGAACCACTCACTGATGATATTTGTCCAGAAGAGTAGGTTTCAAGGTTTCCTTCCAACTGGAGGCGTTAATAATAAAAAGTGTTACTGCTTTTAGCAACATGTATGCATGACAAATCAGGCTAGGCTGCATTTATTGTTACCCCTAGATTGCCTCATTTTGTTTCTTCAAGGTAAGAGGTATGCCTTATTCACTACTGTTTTCCGAGTGCCTCGTATAGACTAAGTAGATAGCAAAGACGTATTTGTTGAATGAACAAAAGATCTTGTATGAAGCTACTTGTGAATGTTTGTGAATGGAATTGCTGTTAAGTCCCAGCAGATACTGTGCCACTCTCATTATTACTGTTTTTAACACAGAAAACTCTGGTGAGAATAGCTACCAGAGTCTTGTTTACTTTCGAGGTTCCACTATGGAGAGTGTCAAGTATAAAGTCTGCAAGGCAACAAAGTTTCGTGGTACACACCTGTCTGCTTCACCATTAGTTTGCTCCCAGGCACCCTGCATATCATAAGGCTTATTGTAGATATTTATTGCTAAGTGACAAATATGTCAAAAATTTCTGATTTTCTACTGTCACAACAATTACAACAGATAGTACATCTTTCAAGTAAATATATAATGTTACTAGTGATTAGTGATCAGTCTATGTAATTTTTTTTTTTTTTTTTTTTTTTTTTTTTTTGAGATGGAGTCTTGCTCTGTCACCAGGCTGGAGTGCAATGGAGCGATCTCGGCTCACTGCATCCTCTGCCTCCCAGTTCAAGCAATTCTCATGCCCCAGCCTCCTGAGTAGCTGGGACTACAGGCACGTGCCACCACACCCAGCTAATTTTTGTATTTTTAGTAGAGACGGCATTTCACCATGTTGGCCAGGATGGTCTCGATCTCTTGACCTCGTGATCACTTTTGGGAGGCATTGGCCTCCCGAAGTACTAGGATCACACACATTAGCCACCATGCCCAGCCCAGTCTATGTAATCATTATCTTAAAAGTGAATCATAGGCACTGAATATTTATTATGGGCTAGGTGCCTTTCACAATAGTGTTATGCACATTTATAAGCAAGTAACCTGGGTCTTAGAATATGAAACTGGGGCTTGAATTAAGGTCTTTCTAGATCTCATATCCAATGGTGTTTTCGCTAAATTATGCTGCTTCAATAAAGAAAATAGTTAGCTTTCCGTCAGCCTTTGAATCCCTGATATATGCTGCCCTATGTAGGCATCATCCTACATAGACATTTCAGCTTCTGGAGAGGGAAGACATACCTCTCAGGAATTACTACTACAGCAATCTAAAGGTCTCTTGCTCTTGAGACTCGGGGCTTTATGTGAACTATCATATGCGTAGAAGGCTTCATATTAAGAAACCACTTCTCAGGGGAAATGACGTAAGGAAAATTTGGATGGTTAAGACGAGAATGAGGCAGGTGATTTTTATATTATATCATTCATAAAAATATATTCCACCCACAGTGCTAGAGTATTTGCTACATTCTGACTCTGAAATGGACGTAGCCATACTTTGAATTTAGTTGGCATAAAAATATCAGCCATACTGGTAGATTAAGTTATTGCTGATCACTTTTCAAAGTTGTGATAGAAATAGCTCAGAAAATGCTTATAATGGGAAGTGCTAAATCATAAGGATCATATCACTCAATATAGGTGTATTTCTTGTATTATAAATTTAAACAAATAAAAATTATAGTTTTGTCTTCATTGTTTTATAATATCATCAATTAAATATATAATTTCAAAAATACTTAGAGCCTAATCAAAGGCACAGTATACTATAGTGGTAAATGAAGAATCATGTCTGTATGATGTGTATATATGTAGATAATTAGGGAAAAATAGTAAGAGATAAAAAGAGAAACTCATATTGGTTTTGATTAACAGTGTAAGATGGTGTGGGAGAATAGAGAATGGGGGTAATACGACTTAGGAATACATAGAAAGTGAACTTCCCTTGACTTGAGCAGAATGCTTTGGTGTAACTGGGTTTGAAAATTACTTCTTTTACATGTGTACCTAGATCCTATCATTCATTCATTGTTTAACGTATGTATTAAGTATCCACATGTGCCTACATAGTGACTGGGAATTTCACCATGAATGAAACACACACAAAAAATCTACCGTCACGGAATTTATATTCTAATAAAGAAGGGAGAAGAGATAGATACACACAAAAATTACAAAAGTAGATGTCAGATGGCCATAAAGCAAAAAAGCATGGTTTTTGCCAATTTTAAATAATAAGGTTACGGAAGACTTCACTGGAAAGATGATATTGGAATAAAATCTTGAAAGTTAAGTACAATAGCAGCCAGATCCAACCAAAATAATGGAAATATGAAAACCGAGTGCCTTAGTCTATTTTGTGTGGTGTAACAGAATACGACACACTGGATAATTAATAAAGTAAATAAATTTATTGGCTTACAGTTTTGGAAGTCGGGAAGTCTAAGGCCAAGGTACCAGCAGATTTGGTTCCTGGTGAGACTGTTCTTTTCTTTCAAGATAGCATTGTCCAGAGAAGAGGAAGTGTGGATCTAAGGTATGGCAGAAGGCAAAAGAGCTAAGAGAGAGAGCCCATTCCACAAGCCACTTTAAAAAGGCATTAAGCCCACCCATGAGGGTGAAACCCCCATCAGCTAATCACCTCTCAAAGGCCCGACCTCCCTGTACCATACATTGACAATTAAATTTCAACGTGAGTTTTGGAGGGAATAATCAAACTATACCATCGAAGCAGTTGATAATTGGTTAATGTTACCAGCCAAATTTTCTATTAGGTTTTAAATTAAAAAATGCAAAACCAAGATTACACTATTTATTATGATAAATCAGAATGATAGTTTGGCCTCATTTTATTTAAAAAGTTGATTTAAAATGCTGTATACATTTTCAGCCTGATGAATATTCATGATAAGATAAAAATACTTGTACTTTAGGAGCTTAAGAAGTAAGTGATGAAAGTGAATAGATGTTTTACTTTAAAAACACATTTTTTTTTCTTGTTGGTAAAAATAAAAATGATTGACGGACCAGAATGAAGAACAGGGGGCATCCTTATTTTTTATAATTCTTAAGTAGAGAACAATGGGTGATTTTTACCATTCACATAATATTGCTTCATATTTTTTACAGCCAAATATGATGAAGAAAGTGAGTTTAAAAACTCAAGGGCATATGAGAAAATCCCATTTTTGTAAAAAAAAAAAAAAATTTCAAATCATCTGTTTTCCTATTACTTTAAATATTACGAAAAAGCAGTGAAATGGCCTGGAAAGATATACTTCATAATGAAAATTGTGATTACATTTTATTCTTTGTTCACTTCAGCAGTTTGTGTTTGTGACAATAAGCGGGAATCATTTTTATAATTTTTTAAAAGTTGATGTTTAAAAAGATCATTAAAAATTTAAAACAATTTTAAACATTAAAAATTTGATTTATTCTGAAATAAAAACATTTTATAATCTACATATTCAAGATAAATAATAAGGATACTTGGGAAGGTATTCCAAATTAGATGTAACTTAGAGAATACTGAAATATAAGTGTATGTTGTTTTATGAAGTCTCAAGGACTTGGTATAATGGAATAGCAAAGATGTTTATTCATTAAATAGTTTTTATTTGATTTTATATAATGAAGAATAATTGTAGAAGAGAAAAGGAAAGTATAGAGAGTATTTTTCCATTAAAATATTTTCAATTAACTGCTTCTAAAGTAAACTGGCATCTTCAAATGAACAAACATTTCTTTAAAAATGTCATTGCTGAAGTTCAAATTCAACACGAATGTACTTTTATAATTCCTAATAAAAAGCTAGGTGGAAAAAAATTTCCTTTTTATTGTGAATTTGTATAATGCTGACACCACTGAGGAAACGATGACATGTGGCTTAATTATAAATAGTACAAAAATAATTTTAATTTTCCATAATTTCAACACATTTCTTCTAAAATACTTGGCAAATGACAACACAAGCCCTTGTAGTTTCCTAATAATTATTCACAGTCTAAATTTGAAGAAGTAAATATGGAAATTATACAGTATCATCAAAATATGTTTACCTTTCCCCTACGTTATGTGTGATACCCATTCATATACGTAAAGAACTCAACCTATCTAGTGTCCTTGGGTAGACTTTTTCTTCCTAAGACGCATACTCATAATCCTTCAAATCTTAGAACTGCATCCAAAAGGAAGCTTAACAATAGTGATTGTTTATTTTGTAGGTTTTACAGACGCTAGAGTGCCAAAGAAGACCTTTGAAGTGTGAAAAGATTTCCTGTAATTGAAACCAAAATGTCATTTATAGATCCTTATCAGCACATTATAGTAAGTCATTCACTGTTTATGAATTCTTTCTGGGAGGGGGGCTGATACGTTTCCGTAGGTGAATACTGCGGGCCTTGCTAGTAGAACAAGACTGTGACAGCTTCTCCGTTTGTTATTATAGTCATATGAACTTCATGTGGTGCAAAGAGGCTACGGGACATAATCAAACTAATTTAACTTTTCGTTTTATTACTTTAAGTTTCCAGAAAAGAGGAAATCGAAAGGAAAAAAAATACCGAAACATCTGTAATAATAATGGAACAATAAAAGCTGTGGTTATCACTTAGCAATCATCAGCCTGTGTCGTTTGCACCCTTCACGTGACTTGGTGGAAAGAAGAATGAAAGTAAAAGAATGTCTGAGTTCAGGCTATATTTTGGTTTGCATTTTTAGGGGAATTCTGTAAACTCTCCCTTAGTTGGATACGTTTAAACAGATTCTTCTATGGGTGGTTAGTTTTAGTAAAGAGTTAAATAATTCAAATTTTAGTATGTAATTTTCCAGACTCCAGTGGAAGTGTACATGTTTTCTTCTGGTCAGTAAATAGAAGAGAGAGTTTCTTGCTGAATGTTGTTGTGAGTAGCAGACTTCCACACTTTTACATTGCTATGTGGTTTTTCATTATTTGAATATATCACAAGCTATTTATTTAGTCTACTAATAACCATCATATTCTCTTTCAATGGCAATGGAGAATACCATCATTCAGTGCCGATTGTGATTTCCTATAAATCAGGCAGCCATATATGTGTGGCTTCATTTCTTTTCTGTTGTATTGGTTAAATAGTCTGTGTTTGCTCCAGGACCAATCTCTCCTAATTTCTGTAGCTTAAAAGTGTGTCTTTATATATGGTCATGTAAATCCTCAAATTTTTTTTTTAAGAATACTCTATTTTTAGTTCTTTGCATTTCCATATAATTGGATTCATTTTGCCAATTTACACACACACATATGCACACATGCACACAAAATTGCTGGGATTTTGGTTGGGACGGCCAATGTTTCTGTAGAGGAGAGATAATATGATAACAACATTGAGTCTTTCAATCCATTAACAAACCAGGAATCTTATCCAAAACTAAATGTTGCTTAATTTCATCTTTAATTATCTCAATAATGTATTATAGTTTTCTGTAAGAAATCGTGTGTGTGTGTGTGTGTGTGTGTGTGTGTATCTATTTTAGATGTATTTTTTGATATTTGATGTTTTAATGTAATTGTAAAGGAGTTGCTGCTTTTCTTTTTGAGGAGAAGGAGTCTCACTCTGTTGCCCAAGTTGGAGTGCTGTAGTGGGATCGCGGCTCACTACAATCTCCATGTCTTAGATTCAAGCAATTTGCATCCCTCACTGTCTGCCACCACACCCGGCTAATTTTTGTGTATTTTTAGTGGAGATGGAGTTTTGCCATGTTGGCCAGGTTGGTCTTGAACTCCTGGTTGAGTTTATGTTTAGCAGAAAATATGAAAAAGTTATTGATAATAACCATAACATAAGATAATGTAAGCCTGCAATTTGAGGGCTCTGATAACGGACAACGAATAGGACTCTGGGAGTCTATCACAGGAGGAATTAATAACACAAATCCTTCTGGAAAGAATTTCTAGGGGAAGTAACACGTCAGCATAGACCTGAAGGTTAGCAGAAGTTTGTCGAAGAGAGAGAAAATGACTTTTCTGAATTGGAAAAAATAGGCATATGTGAATTAGTCTGAAGGAAAGGTATAATAGTACATGATTCAAGGAAATGAAGGAAGTTCAGTATGGTTGGAACACAAAACATTTCAAAGAATATGATTATTTGGAATGACTTTCACTCTTCGTGATCTGCGCAGGCCTTATTACTGACGGCCACGTAGCCCACGCATACGTCTTGTCAGATGATCTTGTGAACTGGCCGTTCAGTTTCTTCTTTTAACGTGGCAGAGTATATTTAAAACTTAAACTGCATCCAGGCATCTAAGGTTCAGCACTGGCACCTTTTCTTGAAAATTTTGTTGACTACAGCAACAGATTTAGGCTGTAATAATTACTATGTGGTAGTATTATATGATACCATATTACAAAACATGAAAAAAACCACATCTTGGTATCACATTTTTCCTTTTCTCCAACATCAGGCTTAGACATCAACTAGTATTCTAATTTATGGCCCTTTTAAATGATCTCTTGGGTGTGAAGCCAAGTTATAGCCCTTTTAAGTGATCTCTTGATCTGTCAGCTTTACAGTTTTCTTCATTCTTCTTCTTGCTGTGTGTATATGAAAAAGACCAACTGTGGGTGTGCATGTGTGCGCGCGCGCGCGCGCCTGTGTGTGTGTGTGTGTGTGTGTGTGTGTGTAAGTTGTTTTAAAAACAAAATTTCCTGCTCAGGTTTTCACAGAAAGATATTTTTCAAAATATGGAAGTGAGGAAGCACACTCAACACTGAGTGATATTGGTAAAATGGAAAGTCGGAGTGAATCAAGCCAGCTTACTATTAATAGTAATGAGCTCTTGGTGCCAAACAGGCTAACACAGTTTTGAGTGCCTCAAGGCCAGAAGACTGGGCTCATTTTCACCATTCCCGTGATGCAGGGACATGTTGGAGAATCCTGTAGGCTGACGCAGCAATTTGCAGCCAGCAAGCTCTCTGGCTTCCGATGGTGCTTGGATGTTAAGAAGCTGCTAGGAAAATAGAGTGACACATATGTAAGAGAATTTAGTTCTCATATGTCTAGAATCATTATGAGGTGCCTTCCAACCTTAAGGATTTTTGTGTCCAGAATTTATTGAAGATTTTTTTTTTGACCAGGAGCCATCAATTTTACAAGAGATCGAATATAAAATATTTATAACATTTTCCGTCTTTTTACTCTGAATAGGTGAGTCATCTCCCTGAAGTGAAAAAATTCCTACCTCTTTCTACCACCTATTAACAATGGAGGGGCACTGCCCCATATCCCACAGAAACTAGGGTTGTCTTCACATTAGGGGCAGTCAACCACATGGCTATGACAGCATGGTTGCATACCAAAATACAAGGGCTTTTAAAAAATACCATTGTAGGATGACTAGAAATTTTACCAAAAATGTAGAAAGCTATTATTCAGATTATTACAGTAATACAGGAAAGAAAACCACCACTGGAACAGGTAATCAAAGAACTAGTGTTCTGTTGGCAGTTCTGGTCTTCCCAGTTATATGCTCATGGACACGTAGACTCTGACTTTTACCTGCCTCATCTGGAAAACGGGGTATAAATAGGACCTGCTGTGTCTGCTTCACAGAGCTTTTATTAATAGTAAAGTGCTATGTGCACAAAATTATCCCTTTGAAATAATAAGATATTTTTAGAAAAGTTAGAAGTTGAGAGGCTGCTATTGGAAAATAAAAAATGTAAAAATGATGAAACTATAATTACAAAAGCGGAGGACTGTGAATGACTTAATAATGAGTTTTTAGGCAAATAGAATTTTTTGAGAACTCACAATATCTAGAAAAATGAGGAAGAAAGCTAGTGTAATAGGGTTCTCTAGAGAAACAGGGCCAATAGGAGATATTAATTTATTAATTATGAGGTATTAATTTATGACAAATAGGAGATATTGATTAATTATTGATTTATTATGAGACATTAATTACTGCTAACTAATTAATTATTGGCTCACACAATTATGGAGGCTGAGCAGTCCTATGATCTGCTATCTCAAGCTGAAAATGCTGTAAAGTTGGGGTGTATTTTGGTCTTAGTCTGAAAGACCTGAGAATCAGGGGAGCTGAAAATGTAAATATCAATCTGAGGGCAGGATAAGATGTGAGGAGATGTCTCAGTTCCAGCAGTGAGGGGAGAATAAAGGGAGTGAAGTCTTCCTTTCTCCGCCTCTGTTCTGTTTGGGTTCTCAGCAGATTGGGTGAGGCCCATCAGCACCTAGGAGGGCAGTCTACTTTACTGAGCTCACTGATTCAAATGCTGACGTCATTTAGAAATACCCTCACAGACATACCTAGAAACAGTGTTTAATCTGGACACCACATGGCCTACTGGAATTGATGTGTAAAATTAATCATCACCGCTAATAAGAAACTTCTTACTTTTCCTGGATATCAGCCCTGCCCTGCCACAAGCCTCTCTTAGGAGGCAACTGTGCACTAATTTAAAGTAATGTCCATGTTTCTGCTTCTTTACCACACAGCATAGATCAGAAATCCCTAGAAGGTCACCAGGTTTATCTTTCAGTTCTCAAATTTCTTTTTGGTTCTTTTAAAAATCTTCTTAGTCATTTTTTTAATACTACCAGTTCCATAGAGTTGTATTTCAATTTGACTTTATTTTCCTTGAACATCCTAAGTATAGTGTAGCTGATGAATGGATGTGTGTGTTTCTGTGGCGGTTGATTAATTACGCTGGTTTGTAGTCATGCCTCCTTATGTTCCCAGTTACTCTGATTTTGTGTCGAACATTGTGGTGAAAAATAGAAGTAATCTTTTAGAGATAACTTATTTACTTCCATCAGGCCCCTGGGGAAACCAGCAGGTTGGGACAAACGTAATCCCAGATGGGTTGTTTTCTGGGCAGCTTAGATTACACTAAAATGGGTTGCCAGTAAGTGGAAGGGATGTTCATGGTTATTCCTATGTCATGGACTATGGAGATTTTAATTTGAAGCAGGAGTGTGGATTACCAGGATCCTTATGCTTAGAATGCTCATGAATCTTTCAAGGCTGCACAGTGTCTCATCCTGTCCTCTTCTGGATCAGGAAATGCCACCGTGGTAACACTGAGCTCAGCTCCCTGGTTTTGTGTACTCTTTTTAATCTTTGCTGTCTGTCCTGGTGGTTAACGCTTTCCTATCTAGTTAGTTCTTTCCTAGTTTTAGACAGATGTTTGTTTATTTATTAAAACGTTATCCAGTTTATAGTTATTTGGAGTATGCAGTGGTCACCTCGGTACTTACTCTGCTGTTACCGTAAGTGGAATTCCCTAATTACTTCTTTCACAGTCAGTGGTGCCTCCAGACAAC